AGGGTTTAGTTTAGTTTAGCCTAAAACTGATTGTGTTGAACTTGTTGCCAAAAAAGTGTTTTATGTTCTGAAGTAAGTAGTCTTTTTGCTAGTATTGACATAAGTAGTACTTAATCGTAAATCTGATAGTAGTTGTTGTGAGTAGAGGTTTATCATGTTTATTAACGAAATCTTTCTTTAGGGGAGTAGTCCTGTTTGTAGAGCGTTTTCAGGAAGCCCCATTGCTTCTGCTGGTCAGAAGAACATTTTTGCATATCAAGAGAACTCGTTTTGCAAAGGAAAGTGAGAAATTCATTGCTTGCAAACCGTGACTTTATGTGGTAGTCAATTCTTTCCGGGACGCAGTCAGACTTGTCAGAGCGTCATTTTCTATAAATTTCAAAAACGCAAAATGACCTGCACTGAGATGTACGAAAAGCCAAAACATTTCGCTAAAAGCTTACACCGTGGGGATTGGCCGCTGAATAGGGACGAAATAAAAGGCGATTTTATTTTACCTACCATGGATTTGCTAAGCGAGCTGAATGGTCTGATTTTCACGTGGCGTCAATTCGCAGCCGTTGTTTTTTAACCAGGAATTTCACACTTTCTGTTAAGTCAAAATAATTTACCAGTGCAATTTTTGCCATCGCCTGAATATCCAGGTTTACACGTGCAAGTGTAAGATCCACGAGTATTATTACAAACAGCGTTGGCATCATAGCTATGAGAGTTGGAAGAGCACTCATCTATGTCTGAAACGAAGTTTAATGGAGTAAACATGGCATAAAAGTTGGAGGTGTCGTTCGACTATTTCATCAAAAAGCATACAGCTTGAGAAGTGTCCGTCCAATATTTACGGTAGGCAGGATCATTGACTGAAGAAATATTTATTAAAAAACAATTGAAAACCACTTTCAGTAAATAAAAAGACTTAATTAATCCATAAAACGATCATCAGATTTATTATATAATTTGAATTCGTTCACAGTTGTGATTTGAATTTATGACAACAATTAGGTAATATGATTTGAAACGAACAATATTCTAATGCGCGAATTATTTTTGACAATACAGTTTCAGAAATTGGTTCGATGTACAAAACAAAAGTAAACAAGATAAATATTAAATACTAATGTACAAGAGGATAAAATGGCGTTAGAAACAATTAGGTCGGCATATTTCAGCTGCTGGCATGTTTCCGAACACGAATCTGAGACATGCTTTGTATACATAATATTATTAAAATCTGGATCATTGGATAACGCAATTCAAGAGTTTTCATTGGCTTAGCCATTATGGGTTATGAGCCATTATACCATGCTCTACAAATACGGTAACTCGCGTAACTGGTTCGTTTCCATGTTTATCTAAGTTTAGTTTTCTATATTTTGAAGGTGTTTTTAATAAACAACTATTACACTGGCGGTTGTTGGATAGGGCATGATTATAACAAACTCGGCGCTGCGCTCCTCGTTGTCTCTCTGCCATCTCATATATAACTCGCACTCGTGGAATAGTTGTTAATTATATGTTTATCAATGCTCATAGTCTTTCCATAGCCAAAAAGAATGTTCCTTCTCTGAGCAGATAACATGTCAGTGGGAAAATATGAGGAAACTGACGGTTAAAAAATATTGTTAAAAAGACTCTTAATGGCCGTATAAATCAACCGACGTTTCTGCATTACTGCCTTCTCCAGGGTGCTTAAGCTGCCACGTAAAATAACGAGATCGTTAGTTGCAGTCGTGTGCTGTTTTGAAACTGTTTGCGCCTGCGAAAAAAACTGGGAAAAAATCCTGTACTTTTTGTACCCAAAAAAGAGGCAATTCGTTTCTATACCAACTATAGTTTTCAGTCAAGGACTGCAGAAGAGCGGTAAGTTGAAGATTTATTTTCTAAATAAAACATAGGTCCTTACCCGTCAACAGAGAATAAATTTCATAAACTGTTAGTATATTCAGCATCAACATCAAATGTATTCACTTTTTCTTTCATATTTTTTTCAGTTTGTTTTGATGGTTTGTTTGTTTGTGTTTTTCTTACCATTGCAAGTTTGTCCGTCTCCAGTATATCCAGCTCTACACTTACAGGAATATGAGCCCACTTTTCTGTCCGACTAGTTGGGTGATACTAAAACAATTAGACCCTTCGCCCTCAAGGACCACGGGTCAATAGTCCATTCGGCTTCGCCTCATGGGCTATTGACCCGTAGCCCGCAAGGGCTACCGGTCTAATTGTTAAATATGTAATCTGCAAACGGACTTACCCATCACCGCAGTTGTAAAGAAAAAAAAAAGCGAAATAAATGTAAGTAAATCACTATTGAGATAAAAAAGAGACGAGACTGGAACTAAACGCCTCAACATTCAGCAGGAAGTGAGTTCCACTCGGGTAAAGTTCTTGGATAAAACCTGAATTTGTAAGTGTTGCTCGCGGGGGTTAAATGCGTGAATTTCATAGGATGATACTGCCTCGTTATTCTCTGCTTGGGTTTAACGTATTCAGGAATCTGTAGGGCTATCTTCCCGGTGACAGCTTCATACATTATGGTGAGTCTGGCTTCCTTTCGACGCTCTTCCAAGGAGAGCCATTGTAGCTCGTTCAGTAGACGGGTTCAAGAGACGGGTCACAGACCTCGCCGTTCGATCATAACATCGTCTGCACACCTTCGATGTCGTTGATATGCTTCTTGTATTATTTTACATAAGTAGATTACAGAATGTGCGTACATTAAACAAGATATTTATCACCTGTAAAACAAGTAAAGTTGAAGCATTTATCACATGGCACGTCATTCCAGGTGTATCCATGCCTCACGCCAAGAGTGTGCACACAGTCTTCGTTGTTCCAGTTGTTTGGTTGCTTTGGAGCCCAGAACCTAAAACTGCTAATTTCTTTGTTTGTCCACACAAAAGAGCCTTCAACACTGCGGTCATTTAGCCCTATCCATGATCTATCGCCAGCATGACGGTGCTGAATAAATACGTTTTCCTCCTGGTTGTGTACAGTCACCAGATCAGAGTTCATCTCAGAGCAGTTTGACTCGGCGGTCAACCATGAGGCGCATGCGGGGCTTGAAAAATAGCAATAACCACCAAAGTAAGTCCATCCCGGCTGGCAAATGTCTGTAAATGAAAAAAGATCAACAAAACGTGAGAAAAATCATGAAGAATGTCTTGAGTTTTTAAGGGAAATCGTTAGTTTGCCACGTTCCTGTAACGCCTCCACATATTTTGGCATTTTCACTCCTAACTGAAACATTTGACTCCGTTTCATATGAAATCGACTTCTAACCAACAATTTCCAAATATCGGCTGCTACAATCTTATTTAACAGTGTAAGCCAAAGAATTAACTAAAACATGGATACTTAGTGAGCAAAACTACTCTCCTGCTGATCTAGAAAATAGTAGAATTAACGATATTTATTTTTTACTTACCTGACAGGACAGTGTACGAGATAGACAGTGGATCATATTTTGTCTCATACAATTCCTTTAAACAAACTCGGACACCGGTCTTGTTGATGTACTGCAAGAAAAGTAAAATAATCAGTGGTGTCTTAACTGGAGTCAAGAAGATAATTTTCCCAGCGATTACGGTGATATTCTCAATATAATTTATCTTCGAAAATGAAAACAAATTTGTGTTTTCTTGAAAGTAAGACTTATTATTATCATATTGTCGGCCCCTAGTAGATAGGACTAACTTTCTCTAAATGAAGAATTTTTTTATCGAGTTTAACGGCCGCCATCTTGGATTTTTCAAAAATACCGTTTTCATGGAAATTTCTCAAGACGTGAAAAAACAGCGTTACCTCCACCCATGCAGTTATTCCATTGTGTACTGGTTGTCGATTTCCACCGCTAGATGAATGGTTCGCAGAAACAAACACGTTTGGGGTGCTGTTGTACTTCTTAGTGAAGCGGATATCCTAAAAAAAACTCTCGTAAATACTGTTATCTAAGTTTCAAACGAAATAAAAACCTACAGTACTATAGTTTACATTGACATTTTTTCTGTCGATATCTGTTCAGTAACTCTTAGACGTTTTCAGAAAATAATAAGATTCTAAGCACGCTCTTTGATAAGAAGAAATTGATACGAACCTTGCAATAGGCATTGTTGTAATCTGCAGGAGGATGCTGAGCGTTAGCAAAATACACTGAATTATGTTCTGAGAAGAGAGGCTTGTGGAGAGACGAAAACGCCAACCATTTCTAAACAAATATGGAGAAAAAATAAATAAATGTTAACTACAGAATTAAGATATAAATAATAGTATCTATTAAAAAAAACAAAAAACATTTGAACGAGTTTCATCATACTCTATCTTTTTATACTGAGATGCGTGGATGGTATAACATACTACAGAGTTGAATGTCCTCCTTTTGGAATAACCTAAATCGTTGACTAACTGTAGTAAACGATGTAGAAACCTCATTCCCTATAGGGTGGTGACAAAACTAAGGTGTAATCACTTACAGTATAAACATCTTCGTGAGATCCTGCGTAGTTCTGCAGCTCTCTCAAACAAACTTTGAAAGAGGATTGCGTGACGTCTTCAATCCACACACTGGCAGCGTCACGCTTTAGTCCTGCGCGATAGTGTGCAGCGGTAACAAATACTGAAGGTATCACTGAAAACTTTCCCTGCATTGAAAACAAACAAAACATATAAATTGTGCACTGAACCCCTAAAGCAACAACTCGCCATACATCTCAGAGCTATCACTAATCTCAAATACCACCATTTTAACATTGGTCCGAGTTGTTAGTGTTGTTTTTCTTACCTTTGCTCCTTTTGCTGTTGTCACTACCGTTGTTGTCGTTGTCGCTTCTTTTGTTTTTGCTTTAGTTGTTGCTGCTGCTAGAGCAGTGTTAACTTGAGTATTGAAAAGTAATTGGGTGTTTATTATTCCGCTAAACGATTGGCTTAAAAGAACGCACCACTCGCTCTTTTATCCAATTAGAAGTAAACCAAAACCACCATAAATTTGTTTAACACGTTTCCTGCGTTTCGCGTCAGCAATGTGTATTTATTACTTTAAGTTTTGGGTGGTTCATTACATTGTCTGTGCTCTTCCTGATTGGCCAGAGTGATAACTTCAGTTTTCGATTTATGACTTATTGAAAACCGTGTTATTATTAACATTGCTGTTCTATTAACATTGTTGTTCCTGCTATTAATGTTATTTTTTTTCCAATTTGTCGTTGTTGTTGTTCTCGTTGTTTCAATAGGAAGACGTCGTCGTTGTTGTTGTTTCTGCTATTTGTTTTAAAAGTAAGATGCCGTTGTTGTTGTTGTTGTCGTTATTGTTGTTGGTGTTGCTACTAATGCTGTCGTGTAATTAGCGAAGGTTTGGACATCTAGAGAGAGTTAATGGTCTAATGACTGGGCTAGAGGCGACATTTTATATTAGGCCTATTAGTTCCAGTGTTTTCATATTATATCGAGTTAAATTTGGTAACTTTTGGCTATTCGAAATTATTCTTTGGGAAATTTTTTTGCGTGAAATCGCAAAATTATGTGAAACAGTACCTACCGATGGAAAATTGACAGCTTTACAAGTCGTTCCAGTCCACCACTGTGATATCCGTACTTCCCCGGCAACACCACCCACTGGAGCCCCTTGGTACGCCATCCAATCAACTGTCACGTTAGC